GCCAGTTTATAGTCCCACAGAGTTCTTGGAGCTCTCTCAAGGCATATACAGTTTTTTGCAAGATGGTAGGGTTAAGCAGTTTAATTACAGTATCTATATGGTAGCCAAGGAATGTAAAAGGTTGGATGTATTGTAACTTGTCTCGTGCAATGTGGAGACCTAGACATTCTAAATCAGCAAGCAGACTGGGTATTGCAGCCTGTAAAGTATTGTGAGATTTGTGTGCTAGCAGTATGTCATCCATATAGTGGATGACAATTAGGTCCTTGGAGATGTTGGTTAAGGCCCTATTAACATATAATTGACAGATTGTGGGGCTCTTTTTCATACCCTGTGGTAGTACCTCCCTTTTGTATCTCTTGGCTGTTCTTTGAAAGTTGGGCTCCCATACTGTGAAGGCAAAGTGAGGTCTATCTTGTTCTGCTAGGGGGATTTGGAAGAAACAATCTTGGATATCAAGTACTATGATATGATGGGATGGGGGATAGCTGTAGGGTGTGGTAAGTCCGCTTGTAGTGAGCCCATCTTTTCCATCTGGCCATTGACTGGTCTAAGATCTTGGAGGAGTCTGTATTTCTCTGATTTCTTTTTAATAACAAATATTGGGGTATTATGTTTACTGAGAAAGGGCTCGATGTGGCCAAGCCTCAATTGTTCAGCTACCAAATTTTTGAGGGCAGATAATTTAGGTTCTATTACAGGACAGTGGTCCACCCAAATGGCATCATTAGAGAGCCTGGTGATTTGGATGACCTCAGGGACCAAGACTGGAGTCGATCCTGGGCAGGCAGTGGCGCTTAGGATAGAGCGCATTGGGCAAGGTGTTGTCCTTTCCCTGATAGTTCCAAGTTATCGTGGAGCAAGATATCATCATAAAAGTTGCGGTCATCCATTGTAAGGACCAACCCGTATTCTTGAGGACATCTCGGCCCCATAAGTTATGGGAAACGTCTGCAAATATGGGGGTAACTGTTCCCTGATTCCCATCCAAGTCCTTCCAATATATTGGAAGTGTGACCAGCTTGGTATCTTGTTTTCTGCCAACTCATTTATTGGTGGGCCTGGATGTTATTTACAATGAGGGAATTTAAGGTATTCAATTTCTGATATAATGGTGACATCAGCCTCAAGTGAGGTCTATCTTGTTCTGCTAGGGGGATTTGGAAGAAACAATCTTGGGTATGAAGTACTATGATATGATGGGATGAGGGGATAGCTGTAGGGTGTGGTAAGCCTGCTTGTAGTGAGCCCATCTTTTCCATCTGGGCATTGACTGCTCTAAGATCTTGGAGGAGTCTGTATTTCCCCGATTTCTTTTTAATAACAAATATTGGGGTATTATGTTTACTGAGAGAGGAGTCGATGTGCCAAGCCTCAATTGTTCAGCTACCAAATTTTTGAGGGCAGATAATTTAGGATTGGTGAGCCTGGCTGGTATTTCCAATGAGGGAATTTAAGGGATTCAATTTCCGATATAATGGTGACATAAGCCCCTGTGTCTCCTAGGTCCTTTATGGCAGTTCCATCTAGGAACGGGGTCATTAGTGGGGAGTGGTTGAGGATTGGGAGAGTCCATAATATCTGTCTTGTTTCCCCTCTTGTGGGTGGGGCTGAGGGGCGCCCCGGGTGGAGTTTAAAGGAGGCGAGTCCAGTTGAGGCTGTGACCTACAGTCTTTAGCCCAATGGACCCCTCTTTTGCACTTAGGGCAGCAAGTCTTGGGGTGGGCTGTATCTCTTGGGCAGTGGCTATGAAAGTGGCCAAGCCCCCCACAGTTCCAGCAGCCTTCCGGTGTGCCAAAGTGGGAGGGTTTTCCTTGCGACAAAAGAGTCTCCAAGGAGGCGGTCTCTCGGGTGGGTCCAGACTCCACCCTCCGCTCTACTGCCTCAGTGACACTGGTAAGGAAGTCCGTGAAGGACTCCCCTGACTGTTGAATCAAATTACGGAAAAAGACTTGTGGGTCATGGGGGGAGCAACATTTAAGGGCCTTAAAGGCCAAGTCAGAAACTTGTTGAAAATAGGCATGGAGGCCAATAGTAGACTTGGAGATGGGGTCAGTATATTGTCCACATCCCGTGAGCATGTCCAACGTAATGTTGAAGCCATATTGGAGATTTAGGCATGCCTGGTTTTCAGCCTGATCATCATAGGCTGCATGCCAGTTTAGAAAGACTGAGGGTTCTAAGACTGCTTTTAGTAAGCTATACCAATCATAGTGGGTTTGTAAATGTAAGGACCTCTGGCGAAGAACCTGTTTGAAATATGGGGAGTCAGGGCCCAGTTGCTCAGCTGCCTTGTGGATAAGAATGAGGTCAGCTAGTGGGGTGGGCAGCCATGGATGCTGTGCTGCATTGGGGCCAACGTTAACCGGAAATGCGGACAAAGGTGGGTGAGGCTTTAAGGAGGGCAGCCTAGGAGGGAGGGGCATGGTAGCAGGGGAAGGAGCGGGATGGGTATTAGGAGGGGGAGAGCACATGTTTTCAGGGGAGACCCACGGAGCCAAATTAGTAGCTCATCCCAAAAGTGTTCGATATCTTTTGGTTTCACTTTCAACCCTCTGGCTTTAAGGAGCATCTTGAGTGCTGACGTTTGTGGTTCCCTGCATTGTGGTGGTAAATTGCCCCTTGTGGGAGGGTCTCACGAAGGGGAATTCGCCACAAAAGTAGAAGATGAGGGTGACTACCAAGAGGGCACAAAGGAAGCAAAGAAGCACTGTGAGACACTTGGATGTAAACCGCCCCAACATGTAAAGGTGTATCGGATCCAAATGTCTTGTGCTCAGTGAGGGACTTCTGGAGGCCGTGACACCTCCAGCCGTATGCTCACACAATGTCTCCAGGACAGGCAACAGGGTGACCTGAAGCCTGGGCTCTGAGTTCGGGGTGGATCAGCCCTTATGTGAACTCACCAGGATAAGCCAAAAGGGGGGAGGTGCCAACATGGGCTTCGGGGCCACGTGGCGGAGTGTGCCTCCCTGATATAACAAACTAGTCCAACAATAAAGAGGACAGACAGGGTGGAGAGGACAGAGGCGGGGGCTACTCGCTTACCCTCGAGCAGCCGAAGAAACAGACAAATCCAGGGGCCTACTTACTGAATGAACCGAGGTTCTGGGTGTCGCCAACACCGTGGGCAGGGGTCCCTGTTCAGGCGCCAGGTTTTGCGGGTTCTTCTCAGGCCAGCTGTGAAGACCCTAACCTGGATTGGGCCCCCTGCCGATTGGGGGGGGTCCCCTGCTGATTGGGGGGGGCAAGAGGTGCAGAGTCACAACACACAGACCCCGGGAGTGGGGTAGAAGCAAGCACTAGGTGAGGTGCTGCAGCCTCGTTTAATGGAGGGGGCAGGTCTTATATTTTCCTTTTCTCCGCCCCCAAGTCCCTTTAGTCAGCGTATCGTTTTCTGATTGGTCTGCGCCACACAGTCTGTCAGCAGTCACTGGGCTCTCCAGCAGGGTATGGAGGCTTGGGCTCCTTTTGGCGGGCTATTTGTGGACCAAGGAGTGAAGTGAATTCTCACTGAATCCCAGGGCTCTGGGTCTGCGCCATCTTTGGAGTCCTCCTGCTACACATTATGTTTCTACAAGAGCAAAAAACTATATGTACAAAGTACTGTAATTCACAGCATACAATAGTAATAGTCTCCCATCTGAGCCAAGGTGTTTTAGGCATCATTCATTAACATTAGAGTAGTGCGGCATGTGCAGTGTAGTTACGCATTACAACATGGTTGAACACTGTCAGAAATGCCTCAGATTCATTATCCATTTGATTTTAAATTAATTTTGACTTCCCTTCAGTTTAAGAAGATATTTTAGCTAAATGTAATGGTGTGTGCTTGTAACCCCAGCACCAGGGAGGCTGGGGCAGGATCATCAATTTGAGGCCAGCCTGAGCTACATAGTAAGTTGGAGACTAGCCTAGACTATCTAGCATGGTCTCCGTCTTAAAAGTCAGAGAAGACAGACAAACTGTACTGGAAGAGGCACTGGGTTACCATACATCCTAAATGAGGTGTAGCAACAGTTCAGGAGTGGTGTAAGGAAACATCTAGCATGTCAGTTTTTTTTGTCTTTTTGAGACAGGGTCTCCTTGTAGCCCCAGCTGTCCTGGAACTCACTATGTATGCCAGGCTGGCCTTGAACTCACAGAGATCCGCCTGCCTCTGCCTCCCAAGCATGTTGATTTTATGCATAGCGATTTGAAGTTCAGAGTTGAAATTATTGGTTCTGGGTAAACACACAGTTTTGGAATTGTTTATTTTGAATATCAATAACTTTTAACTTTAATTATAGATTGAAATGAGATTCTTTATGGAAACCCTAGTACAGTGCCTGATACAGTATAGGTACTCAGTAACTACCTGATACAGTACACATACCTCAGCCACTGCTTCTCTGAGTGAGTTTGATTATTTTTTTACAATCCTCTATTATACAGTGAAGAAAATTGATCAGAAATTTCCAAAAATACATTGAAATCTTGTATGACTCTAGACTAATGTATTGCTGCAATGTCATTATCCTGTGACTCTTTGGAATGCTTTTCTTACTGGTGTTCAGATTGACTAGCCTCATCTCTTCCGGGGGTTGGGGGTGGGGTTCTTGCCCAATAAAGGATATAGAGGATAGATTCTAAAGAGAGTCCTGAGGATTAAGAACAGGACTGTAGCTCTGGAAAGGAGCCTTATTTTATTGCAATGGGACATAAGTGTAGAGAAGTGAATTGTTCAGTATCATAGCTGTAGTAGAGAAGCCAGACACATAGAGAACTTGGGTAATTTTAAGTCATCTTTTTAGACACTTGAATTTATTTACATAAGTCAACAGAACTAGTAGTGCTACCAGAAGTCTCATAATGAAAACTGTCATCCTTAAGGAAAGAAATTCTCAGGGCTGAGTGTGTTGTGTACCTTGGTGTTTAAGAGTGTGTGCTTAGCATGCAGGAGGTCCTAGGTTCAGTTGCCAGAAAGAGAGGAAAGATAATTTTTTTCCTGTTACTTCTAGGTTAAGTCAGCAAACGAAGAAGGCATTGTATTTTGAAATATGATTGAACTCCTGATGCAGCATCAGAGGCTAACAATATTAATGGCCAGATCTAGGTAAGTTGAAATTTACCTTCAAAGAAAGGACTAGTTTAATTTAACTTAATTGAACAACTTAATTTAATAGCATTTTGTTGGATGTAACTGTGTTGTGACTTACTGACTCCTCCTTCCCAAAGAATAAGGGTGGATGGCTTTGATGAACCAGTGTTTGCAATGTTGGAATATTTAGTATATTTGTTGTAGTATGAAGCTTCTCAAACAGAAGCTACCTTTTGCTGTTGAATGAACTCATCGAGTCCCAGTTCAAAGAGTGTTCCCTGCCCTACCTAACCCAGAAAGTTAAATTGTTCTCTGTGCTCATAGTATTATGCTCCTATTATAATAAAGGTGGTCATTGTGCATTATTTACATCTCTATTTCTTCTTTAGGCTCTTTGTGCTATGATACTTAGTACCATATTAGTTACAGAGCAAAAAATTAAATATCATGAATCTTAATTAACTTTATAATTTCTCTTAGTTTATATGGTACTATCATTTTTCATATTAATTACAACTGCCAGACATTCTTTATCTTGGTTTAGTACAATTCATTCAGCTCACAAATGGCCTAAAGTACTTACATTGTGCTGGATGCTCACAAATGGCCTATAAAGTACTTACATTGTGCTGGATGCTAGGAATGTGAGGATGAGTGCCTCTGCTGGGAAGGAGCTCACAGCAGAGTGAGAACAATATATAAACCACTGGCCTATCACAATCTCTAAGTACAAAGTGTAGCAGGTGCTATGGTACTGGGGTTCCAAGGGCACTCAGAGGAGAGTGTATGAGCCTTGTAATTAACTTGATTGGTTGGAGTCAGGGAAGCTTCCTAGTAGTACTGCACTCTAGAAGAATGTGAGACAATAAGCTGCCATGGGGTAACAATAGCTCGTTTGATCTAACTGGACTATCGTTTTGAGCTGAGGAAAAGGAGGTTTAGACTAGACCTGTAAACAGGGACCAGGTTGTATTGGACCTTATGCTGTAACGAAGAATTTTCCATCCTGAAATTGGTGAAGAACCACTGAAGAACTTAAATTTCAGTCAGACCTATGTAATGTTTGTAGTTCCTGTGCTCCTTTCCTTCCCTGTATATCAAATAGTACGTTTAGTTTGATTCTTTTCCCTGTTTAGAAGTAATGCTTTTACATTCTCCTTTGTTCATTTGGAATGCTCTTGAACACCTCCTGACCTCTGTAATTTTTTATAGCTGACCCACTATGGCAAAGAATGAAATAGACAAACTGCATCAGGTCCACCGGTGTTCTGTGTTTTATAGTAATGTTTAAATTTTAAGTTGGCCTTCTATTTTACTAAATATGCTATTCTTTTTTTGGGGGGGGGGAGACAGGGTCTCCCTGTATCTCCTTATAGCCCCAGTTGGCCTGTAACTCTCACTATGTAGACCAGGCTGACTTCGAGCTCACAGAACTCTGCTTGCCTCTGCCTCCCAAGTGCTGAGATTAAAGGTATGTGCCACCATACCCAGCTACCAATGTACTATTCTAAATTTGATGTTTGTATTATTTTTCTGTTGTTGTGATAAAATATCATAACCAAGGCAACTTATAGAAGGAAGAGTTTATTGACTTATGGTTAAGAGTCCATCTTGGTGGGGAGGCATAGCAGGAGGCAATTGAAGCAGAAAACTAAGGCCCTCACATCTTCAAGTAGGCACAGCAAGCAGATAGAGACAAACTGGAAGTGGGCAAGGCTAGAGCCCCACCCACAGTGATACGCTTCCTCCAGCAAGGACATGCCTTCTAACCCTCCACAAGCAAAGCCACCAGCTGGGGACAGAGTGTTCGAATACTTGAGCTTATGGGGGATATTCTCATTCAAACTACCATGTTATTTACCAATGAACTTTTGTCTAACAGAGCATATAAAAACTATTACAATGAGTAACGAGAATCAAAGTATTTTCTAAGCTAAAAATGTAGAATCCTCTTTTTAAAAAATTATTATTTTTAGTATTATTTTTAATGTGTATGAGTGTATTGCCTGCATGTATGTGAATGCACCCATATCATGCAATGCTGCAGAGGTCAGAAGAGAGCTTTGGATTCCCCTGGAACTGGAGTTAAGGACGGATGGTTCGTAGCCACCATGTGGGTGCTGGGAATTGAACCTGGGTCCTCTGTAAGAGCAGTCAGTGCTCTTAACAGCTGAGCCATCTCTCTAGCCCCAGGAATCCTCTTTTATATATTAAAAAGGACATGAAATTTCTGATAATCCATAAAAAATTGGTTCCATGACTAGCTCTTTATTACATAGCTACATTAATTTTTTAGATAAGTGTTACATATAAGACCGTTAGTTTGTTCTTAAGATGATTTTAGAAAAAACAGACCTTTGTACATTAAACTGGAAATTGGAGTTTCTGTGGCATGTTCCTTACAAAATTTATTCTTATCATTGAGTAAAATTGGCCAGCTAGTTGTGTGAAATCTAGCTCTAGACATTAACCTCATTGGGCTTTATTTTCCACATCAAAGTGTTATGCTTGTGTTAGATGATTTCTAACCTTTTCCTGTTTCTCTGTTTCCTACATCAACTAACTTTCTTCACATTATTGTTTGTTTAGTGCTCACATGGTCTTCTGAAGAAGCCATGGGTAGCTGTTGTAGCTGTCCAGATAAAGACACTGTCCCAGATAACCACCGGAACAAGTTTAAGGTCAGTAAAACCAGCAGAAATACACACACACAGACACACGCATGCACGCAAGCGCACGCGCTGCTTTTTGTCACTCAGATCCTCTCCACCTTTTCTTACTTGAGTAAATGGTGACGTGTTCTTACTAATAGTATGGAATTGTATTAGTCCATTTTTTCATTTCACAAAATACCGAAGACTGAATACTTACAAAGAGAGGTTTATTTAACTCTCAGTTTTGATAGTGGAAGTTCAGTCAGCATAGCACCAGCCCTGACCAAGGACCCTTTAACTACACCACTTTATACTGCAAGGCCTTAGAGAGACTGGGGACTAATTGAAGTCTCACAAGATGTTTGCTAATTCTTTTGGGAGGGCATGCCTCTGGTGACTTAATGACCTCTCATGTCTCACCTCTTAAATTCTACTACCTCAGCACTGCCACACTAAGGATCAGGCCTCCAACACATGAACTGTTAGGGGGACAAACCATAATTGGAATCTTCTTTTACTTTTCATTTGTGTCTAATTAACCACACAGTTGTAATATTTTCCTTAAAATGTCATTTTACAAGTATCTTTTAGTCTTACTACTTGTCCGCCTTCTGTTACCATAAAAAATCTTATATTATGCCAGGCGTAATAATATATAATAATAATAATATATAATCTTATATTATTTTGGTCTCTTTAGTCCTGGTACTCAGGAGGCAGAGGCAGGTAGAGCTCTATGAGTTCGAAGCCAGCCTAGTCTACAAAGTGAGTTCCAGGGCAGCTTGGGCTACAAGGGAGACCCTGTCTCAAAAAGACAAAAAAAAAAAAAATTCTTACATTA